AAGCAGCCCCTCCAACCAAAATTTTCTTCCCACATCAAAGACATCCAATCTGAATCAATCACCTTATTCTGCTGATTGAATCAACAGTCCTAATATTCCCAACAGAAAACTAAGACAGTATAAACACTTGATGGACTTCTGCTTCTAGCTTGTCTTGCTTACAGGAGCAGGAGAACTCTTTGTTTCACCTCGGCCTATTTATGTCACTCCGCTGCAGTGAGCTGTCAATGGCTTCCTCTGCCTGGGTCAGTGGTTCTCACACTGAGACAGGAATTTATTGTGGTCACTGCGCAACTCTGTGAACACTCTAAAAATCACTAAATTGTGCCCTTTAAACAGGTTAATTGTATGGTATGCAAATTATATCTCAATAAAGTTGATATAGAGGAATCAAAGCATCTGGAAATCATGGCGTGCCATGTGTAAGATCCTGAAATGGTGAACCGAAAGCAATTTCACTACCAGAAAATAAGAATATGGTCTAACGCGCATATATTTACAAGATTAAAATTCACTACTTTACAACTATAAAAAAAGCAAGTGGTTGAGCTAAGATTATCAGCAGTATCTAATGTTTGCCTTTAATATTAAAGTGCCCTTTGTTATATTACTTTACTGCCTACTAGGAAGTAAGCATTAATATCAAAGAGAAAAATTTAAAAGGGAAACTTAAAAAATTATATAGTATGTTTTTATTGACTTTAGAGAGAGAGGAGGGAAGAGAGAATAAAAACCATTTGTGCTGGGGATCGAGCCGACAACCCCAGCACATGCCCTGACCGGGAATAGAACCTGTGACTTCCCAGTGCAAGAGGACGCATTCAACCAACTGAGCCACACTGGCCAGGGCTGAAAGAGAAACTTTAAACTTGAGCACTTCCCTAAGTAAATACTTTGATGTGTTGTGTTTTTGGTTTGTTTGTTGTTGTTTTTAAAAATATATATTTTATTGATTTTTTTTACAGAGAGGAAGAGACAGGAGGGATAGAGAGTTAGAAATATTGACCAGCTGTTTCCTGCAGACCCCCTACCGGGGATGTGCCTGCAACCAAGGTACATGCCCTTGACCGGAATCAAACCTGGGACCCTTCAGTCCGCAGACTGATGCTCTAACCACTGAGCCAAACCGGTTTCGGCTGTTGTTGTTTTTTTTGTCTTCAAATTGAGACTTTAGAAAAATATCTATATTTGTAATAACGCTAGGCTTTCTGGAGGAGCTCTGATGATTCCAGCATCCTAGAAAACGCCGTATCAACATTGATATACCCTAAAGGAAGTCTTTTTTTCAACCCAGCTTTCAATTACTTGTCTGTATTCACCTCTTTCCACCCCACCTCCCTGTGCCCCACAGCAGTGGCCCCACATCCCTCACAACCACGAGTAGTGGCTTTGCTTCTGCTCCTTCCTCCTCTGGGGTATTCTGTCCTCCTTTCTCCACTTGCCCCTCCGAAGCCCTTCTGACCTCCCCTGTCCATGAAAGTGCCGTGAGAGCAGGGAACATGTGTATCTTACTGAATGTTGTAGTTTCAGCAAAAAACATAGAGCCTGATACAGAGAAAATGCTCCACAAATGTGTCTTTGTCTTCTCACGGTCTCGATGCACATGTCTATCTGCTTACCTCACTGTTCTGGAATTATTTTTCAGTGACCCCGCCCTCACACTCTTCTTGTCTTTATCACGCAATAGATGCTCCATAAGTACCTAGTACATTTAGATGGACTGAAAATATATTTCTTAATCTCCAGATGTTCAAAGTCTTTTAAGGAAAAACAAAACTTTCAATTTGCTAAAATACTACATGGCAAACACTGTAAGTGGGATGAGTGTACAATACTGTGAGAATTCTGATAAAGGAGCTCTCCTCTTCTGGCTTGCAGGTCTTCACCCTGGACTCGTCAAAGAGCCTGACATTTGAACTGTCCCTGGAAGACGAACAGTAAGTCCACCAGGAGTATAACCAAAGGGGACCAAAGCTGAAGGAATTCAGCACCAAGACAGAAAGTGAGAGGGTAGGGTGGCTAGTACCCACGGTGGGCTGATGTGGCTTCCGGGTTGGGGGTGAGGGGTCATGGCAGGCGTTGGTTGGCAGGAGGCTGGGAAAATGTGCTTGGCCTGGCAGCTCTCCTACACTGTACTTCACAACATGAGCAAGAGGGTGATTTGATCAGATCTGTATGTTTTAGCTCTGTGCTCAACACCCTTCTCTGCCTGCACCCTCCCAGCACACGCTGACCACGTGAGAGAGTTGACCAGAGTTCTCAGTGTGACATGTGGACAAAGGCCAGAGTGCTCTGAATCTTCATGAGAACCAAGCTGAAACCCAAGACGGTGTTCTAACCATTAAGCAATCAGCCAGCACCAGTGCTATGCAAATCACACACTGGAGCAGAAGTGAAGAATGTGGTAGAACGAACAAAGCTGGTTTCTATGGAAAGCCAGCATCATTCACTGAAAGATTCCTGGCCTCAGTGAAGCCCTCTCTGATTTCCCCAGCACTTAGTTCTGTACTTAGGACACTTTGAAGTTTTTTTTCTTGCTTTATGATTGTTTTGTGTTCATTCCTGGTATCACATTTTTTATCTCTTTGCCTCATTTTAAAAGGTGATATCTAATGTAATGCAACTTTAGAAGACACCTTGGGAGCAAGATAGGGTATAAATCACTCAACAGCAAATCTTGTTAGATTTTAATTTTAAGAAGGAAGAGCTCACGAACCAATCACCTTTATAAATCCCACAGCATGAAGCAAAACGTATTTGTTGAATAAATTGAAGTAGTGAAAAAATATGGTAAAGTAAAAACATTCTTTGATTTTTAAAAGAAGTTATTTTTGCAATGTTTTTCCTTGAAAAACACCTATTGATTAAGTATTTGGATTAGATGTTTATCTTTTTTTATTTTTTTATTTTCATCTCTCTTAACCATGGCTCCACTAGGATTGTTCCTATAATTTTTCTTTTTAAATCCTCAAGCAATGATATATTTGTATTGATTTTAGAGAGGGAGGAAGAAAGAGAGACAGAGAAACATTGATGTGAGAAACATTAATCAGTTGCCTCCGGAATGCACCCAGACAGGGGATGGAGTCTGAAACCTTTTGGTGTTCGGAACGACGCTCCAACTAATGAGTCACCTGGCCAGGGCTGTCCTCATTTTTTTTAAATTTTTTAAAAATATATATTTTATTGATTTTTTACAGAGAGGAAGAGAGAGGGATAGAGAGTAGAAACATCGATGAGAGAGAATTATCGATCACCTGCTTCTTGCTCACCCCCTACTGGGGATGTGCCTGCAACCAAGGTACATGCCCCTGACTGGAATCGAACCCGGGATCTTTCAGTCCGCAGGCTGACGCTCTATCCACTGAGCCAAACTGGTTTCGGCTATTTTATTTTATTTTTTTATTTCTCAAAGTGTCAGCCCTTGTGTAAGTCTCTGGAAAAAACAACCCTTAGATTTCTTTATTATACCTATGTGGTTTATAATAGGACAGAGATATGTTTATTTCAGCAAAATTATAAAGTAAACCTACAAAAAAAAACACTTGACATTCACTGAGACACATATTTGTAAAGAAGAAAGTTAACAGTAATCAGCACAAATATAATAAGTTATAAAGATTTGTTAACATTTTAATTTTAATGGGGAGGAGGGAAAATAAACAGAATACAAAAATACTTTTAAAATACAGCATCATTTCCACAGCACATGAAAACATTTCCATAAAAAATTAACAATTTCCACTTAGACATTTCATTTTTCTCAACCCTCTCTGAATTTATATTCTGAAATCTTGATGGTCTCATTTCATGGATCCACAAAGATCAGGCCTGTCCAAGTAATTAAAAGGAGCGCTTCCTGTTAGAGAGAGCACGTCAGGCTAATATTTAATCTCAATTGGCAACAAGTTCAGTGCAAATAAAATTATATTTAGCAGCGTTGAAAATTCCTGGTGGGGAGGCGTTTGCCTCTTAATCCTCACTGTTTCCCCAGAGAGAAATAATTTTTCTCCTCCCTGTGAGTGTGGACCCTGGCCATTCAAACCTACTGAAAACGGCTACTGCTAATTCTGCTGTCTGTAACACAGGGAGCTTCGGCGAAAGCTGGTTTCAGTCACGAGGCACATGAGCCACCAGTGTTTACATTTGGAAAGTTTCCCTTAGGTTGATTTACACGTACAAACAAAACAAAACAAAAAAAAACAAACCCCAGAGCCTGAATATAGGTCATAACTGGATCTTACCCAACAACTTCTCTGATCATGGAGAAGAAACCCAAAGGAGGCACTAATCATTTCATGCATTAGCTTCCAAAGGAAAACCAGGACAGAGCTGAGGCATCTCTTTAAATCAAATCCTACTCTCTGATAATACGTTTATCTCACTGATTTGAATGGGAAAAGGAAGAGGGAGGAAAGCAGTTATGGACAGAGGGGGGAGGAAACGGGATGGAGGAAAGGAGGGAGAGAGGAGAAAAAGAATGAATAAAGAAAAAGATTTTTCTAAAGAATGAAAAAAAAGAAAAGAGGGACCATCTGATTTCAAATCTGGAGCTTTCCACCCTCAGCCAAATCATTCTCCAAATGAACAGAAGCCAGAGCACTAACAGCCAGAGAGGATTCTGTTTGAGCCTCGTCAATTCCTGGAAGTGCCTTCCTTCTTGTTAGACAGCTGTTCCCTCTCTAGCCAAGGCCTGGGAACTGCCGCTCCAGAGAACAATGTGGCTTTCTGTGCTCAGATGGGAGGAAGAGGAAGACACCTGCTGCTTGTAAGCACCGGGCTCTGCCCCTTGTAGAGGTCTCCCTGGCCCAAGGTCGTGAGCTGTCAGAAGCTTGAATAATCCCTGAGATCCACAATGTGCTGACAAAACACCCAGGCAGGTCAATACTGGGTAGGTCTCTCTCTTGACCTCAGTCTCTCTCTTGACCAGTTCCTCAGCAGCTTTTCTTTACTACAGGATGGAGGTGCAGTGGCTGTGTGTCAGGAGAGAGGAGCCCACCTCAGTCACTGTACTCCTCTCTTCCCCTCGGAGTGGGGAATTTCTCATACTGGTTGGCCAACTTCCACTTGTTGTGCTGACTTTTGAGAAGCGCCGCGAGGGAAGTCTTTCGGGTAACGTGTCTGGATAGGTCTCGGCTCTTGGCCTTCCTGGTGGGGGAAGAGCTTCGGACTAAGGGAAAGACGGGGAAGATAGGCTTGCCCCGAGGGGCTCCCAGGAGCTGCCATATCTCCCCGGAGGTGTTACTGGTCAGATACTGCCAAGGCTTCTTCCCACTGCTGTCCCGGACGTTCACCCGGGAAGCCAGCCTTTGCACCAGCAGCTTCATGACCTCCGGGTGGCCGTGGATGGCTGCGAGGTGCAGCGGGGTGTACCCGCCGCTGGACTTCACGTTCACATCGAGGGCAACCCCTGCCTTCTGGGCACTGCCCACGAAGTCCTGCAGGGCCCTGAGGTCACCGTGCTTGGCGATCCAGTGCAGAGCGGTGTACCCAGTCAGGAAGTCCTTGTGCAAAGCCAGCTGCGGGTCCTCCCAGAGCAAGGCCAGCACGTGAATCCAGGAGCCGGTGGCAAGCTTCACCATCCACTGGTGCTCCCTGGCATCTAGGGGGACCACAGACGGCCTGTGCTCCGGCCTGTGCGGCACCAAGGCTGCGGCAGGCGCCTGCCTGCCTGGGGCCCCCGCGCTGGGTAGCCGACCCCTCACAGCAACAGCAGCCTTCAGGTCAGCAGGGCTTGGTATCAACGCAGCATCCAGCCTGGGGCTGGACGCCGTTGTTCCTGCCCTGGAGGATCTCCTGGACCGTGGTGGGCGCCGACTCCTTTTCAGCAAGTCCTCCTCCAGACCCTCCTCATCGGAGGAGGACAATCTGGCTCTCCCCGCCCGAGAGCTCATCCTGAAGGATCTCCTGAACCTGGGAGCCGGCCAGGGCAAAGGCTCCTGGGGCTGGCGGGCGGCGAGACCATTGGCCCCAGCTGGCACCGGCTGAGAGGTGTGCCCACCATCCCCTCTGTGTCTGAGGCCTGCAGGGCTCCCACTGCAGCCGCCCTCCTTCGGGGCAAGGCTGCCAGCTGAACTCCTGAGCTCTCTCCAATCTGGGGTCCCTACGGCGCCGCCGGGCAGCCCCTCCTCGGAACCCCCCGGGGACTCTTTGGGCCCACTGCTGCTCTCCTCGCTGCTGTGGCTGTTCTGGTCCACAAAGTCATCCAGTTCTTGGAGGGACAGCTGGGAACGGATGCTGCGGAAGACCGCCAACGGGGGGTTCCCGGGGCAGGATTCGGGGACAGCCGGGAAGAGCGAATAAGGGGAACCAGGAGGGTCCGAAGGCGCTGACTTCGCTTCTGGGACCCCGAAGCCCAGCTCCAAAGGGAAGTTCTCTGGCAGCACCGACCAGGCTCTGGTGGGGCCCTGGTCCCGGGCCTCGGGCGTGTGGGGGTGCCTGGCCACCCATTCCCGGGTGCGCTGCTGCTGCTGCTGCAGCTGCCGCCGCTGCTGCCTGGAGTGGTAGTGCAGGTCGCCCGGGGTCAGCAGCTCCGGCGGGTCTCCGGGGGGAGGAGGAGGAGAGCTGGGCCGGAGGGCCGGCGGGGAGGCCGCGCTGCCAGCAGCCTCGACGGTTGCAGGAGGCGAGCGGGGCGCTGCGGTCACGGTCACGGTCACGGGCGCGGGCGCGGGCTCGGCGGGAGCGCCTCCCCGCTCCGGGCCGGGGGCCCTGCGGTCACCGGGGGCAGCGGGAGCCCGCGCCGGCTCCTCCCGGGCGGTGACGGAGGCGGTGGCGGTGGCGGGGACCAGGAGAGCTCCTCCGGCCGGCGGCTGGCCCGGGAGCCCCCCCAGGCCGTTCTGGAGGCATTCCCAGCAGCAGCGGCCCTGCGCCTCAGCCGCCGCGCATCTCGCTCCGACCTGGGCAGCGGGCACCGCGGGCACCGGCGTCCGGTGATCGGAGCCGCCGCCGCGTCTTCGGCCGCCGCCGCCTCCCCGGGCCGCCTCCCGGGCGGAGAGTCCATTGCAACCTGGATCTGCGGCCGCCGCGGCTGCGGCACCTGCTGGCTCCTCCTCCTCCTGCTCCTCCTGCTCCTGCTCCTCCTGCTCCGGCCGAGGCCTCGGCCCCGGCTGCCGCGCGCGGGGCGGGGCGCGGGGCGCAGCTCCCCCCGCAGGGCCGGCGGCGGCAGGCGGGCCCCGGGGCCGCTGCAGCCCCTCCTCCCCCAGCAGGTCCCGGTACCGCTTCTTGAGGACCACGCACTTGGTGCCGTCGGGGTCCTGGCGCACGGCGGCCACCGAGTTGACGAAGCCCTTGAAGAGCTCGCGGCGGCGCTGGTGCTGCGCGGGGGACGCGCCCGGGTCGCGCAGGAAGCCCTTGAAGTGGCTCAGCAAGGCGGCGTTGGTCACCCGGCCCCCGGCCTGGCACAGGAAGTCCAGGAGCGCCTCCTGGCTCAGCTCCCGGGCCATCGCTGCTGCCGGGGCGCCCCCGGGTCCCCGGGGGTCCGTCTGGCTCCCTCCCCGAGCTCTCCGAACCTCGGCCTGTCCAATGGCACCTGCACCCGGGGCGGCGCCACCGTCTCCATCAGCCGCAGACGCCGAGCGCGCCAAAGGGCCGCGGGTCTCCGGGGGAGGAGCCCCTCCCGACCCCGGCTGAGTCCCCGCACGAGTCCCCTCTCCCCCGGGTGGGAGAGGGCGGCTGCAGGGCCTCTGGCCGCCGGGAGTCCCGGCAGCAGCGGACGTTCCCCGGGCAGGTCGGAGTCGGTTTCACCTGCGCCCTGGTGACGCCTCCTGCCTGGCCCTGGGGGCTGGGCCCGGCCCGCCTCCTCCGCCTCCTGTCCCTCCGCCCTCTGAGGTCTCCCCACCCGTGCCACCCGGCCCGGTGAGTCAGGCCGGTGCGGCCCGGGAGAGCGCCTGGGGGCGGGCGGGAGCGGCGGGCGCTGGCCGCGGACCGCTCCTGGCCCGGGAGACGCCAGGCAGGCAGGCAGGTAAGCGGACCGGCCTCTCCTCCTGGTCTCAGCCACGCAGGAAACGAAAGCCACGGAAGACCCGTCCCTGGCCTCTCCGGGAGCTGCCTAAGTCACGGCTGAAGCCGATGGGTGGCGGGAAGGTGCTTATTAACCCACATTCCGCGGTCTCTCTAAGAGGTGCCTGCCTCTCTCTCTTCATCCGGGCGGTGGGGTGGTAATTTCAGGTTCCCTGCCGTCCGAGGAGGGGGGTGGCGGGGGGAGGACTCACTCTGCATCTCAAACCACCTCTCCGCGTCAGGAGAGGCAGCCCAGGCGCCGGCACCAAGGCACCCAAGTCTGTGCGGAAAGGAAGCGTCCCTGTGCAGGTTCCAGGGGGGTTTCGGCCTTGCCTTTTCCTTTGTGATTGCTTCGGATTAAGGTGCAAGGAAAATCAGTTTGCCAGTCGATTATCCCACCAGCTAAAATGATCAGCGGTTATGCCTTGTTAAGGTACTGGATTGGATGCCAGGTGTTTCTTCGTTTGTATTTACCCTCACATTTGTGAAGCAAAGGGACTTTTGGACTTGCCTTTGTGTGGGCTTAAGTGAAATTGTCTTTCTCCTCTGAATGTAAGTTCCCTACCTCCCCCCCCTCCACACACACACACACATATCCAGCATGTTGAGCATGTCACAGAGTAACCTGAGCCTTAGAATGTCTCTAGATTCTCATTCTCATTCAGAGTCCATTTGTAGCTAGAGGTGCCTTTTTCACCGGCCTGTTCCAGACAGTAGAATTCAACACTTTTCCCGGCAGCTGCTTTCTCCCTTCATTTTATCAGTGCATTTGTACGTCCTGCTCTTTCTTTTATTGAGGTCCTGGAGTAGAGGTCTTGTTTCTTTATCAGTCCTGTTTACATTCCCAAGATGCTTTGTCTTATCTACTCACCTATCTGGCTCCATGCCCTCCCCCACTCCTCTTAGCGGTCTTTGCATTTTTTTCCCCCGTCATGGTAACGCCAAATGTCACAGCAAGACTATTTCTTAAAATCCTCTGTCAGCTCTATTTCCAATTGTAAAGTCTTTCTTCTCCCCTGCCCTGCCATTTGCCACTCTTCTTTCTATACTAACCCTCATCTTTCACTTTCCTTCTTTTCTCGACCATTCCTGACTGTGTCATGAGTCCATGTCCTTTCTGCCAAGGGAGGGTCTTGAAAGTTGGCCCCACAGTTGTCAACCTGCTTTAGCGTAACTCAATCTTCGTGATGGCCACGTAGGTCACATTAACTGAGGTTTATTTTAAGTCCCCAACAGTAACTGATATTTTTCTGTGAATGAATTGGAATCTTTGGCTTTGTTATCTATGTCAGAAAGGGGAAGTGGGGAATATTTTTGGCATTTTCTAGATTTAAACCCAATGCTGGGCTGAGAGTGGCATAACGGTTTCCATTAGGTGGAACATTAGCTTCACACTTTTCAGGAGGGTCATTAAAATAAAGATTTTTGTATTAAACTCCAGCTTCTTTTTGTGTTTATTTCCTGGTGTTGCATCTTAGAGGGATGAAGAGGTGTGTCCACTCCTAGGGCAGAAAGGAGTTCAGACAGGAAATTCAGGTAGGTAATTAAGAGTGGCAAATGAAAACACACACACACACACACACACACACACACACACACACATACAAACACACAAAAACTCTTTGATACTTTTCAAAACGTTTGGTTAAATATAGGGTTTTTGTGCCCTGGCCAGTTTGGCTCAGCGGATAGAGCATCAGCCCATGGACTGAAGTGTCTCAGATTCGATTCCAGTCAATGGCACATACCTCAAGTACAGACTTTATTCCGGTCAGGGTGCATGCTAGAAGCAACTAATCGACATGTGTCTCTCTCACATCGATGTTTCTCTCTGTGTGTCCCTCCCTATTCCTTTCACTGTCTCTAAATATCAATGGAAAAATATCCTACAGTGAGAATTAAAAATATATATGGGGTTTTGTGGCAAGGGGACTTGAAGCACTTATAAGGGCTGGGGAGAAAGAAAGGGGTCAACATCACATGGTTGCTGATGTGATATTATGTTTAGTTGAGAGTGAAATTAATGGGTCTGGAGGAGCAGAAGGGAGAAGGGGGGTGGGGGAAATGCAGTTGCTTTAGATTTCTGGGTGCCCAGATGGGTTAACATTCAGACCCTCTCTACTCCTCCTTCTCTCTCTTGGTTGCGGGGATGGTTAATTCAGATGCTTTCCACCTTATCTCAGGGAGCATTTTTATGCCTCCCTTCAAGTACTGTTACTATTACCAAAAATATTCATGGAGTGTCCACGTTGCCCGGGCACTACTGGAAATGGATAGAAAGAAAAAAACATACTCAAGAACACACTATTTGGCCAAAACCGGTTTGGCTCAGTGGTAGAGCATCAGTCTGCGGACTGAAAGGTCCCAGGTTCTATTCCGGTCAGGGGCATGTACGTTGGTTGCAGGCACATCCTCAGTAGGGGGTGTGCAAGAGGCAGCTGGTCGATGTTTCTCTCTCATCAACGTTTCTAGCTCTCTCTCTCCCTTCCTCTCTGTAAAAAAAATCAATAAAATATTAAAAAGAACTCACTATTTGTTGGGAGCAACTAATGAGAGAAATGGCCCAAACCTGTGAGTTAAGTGGCTTAACAAAGATATGCACCAGAAGCTGGGAAAGTTGAGGGGTGGCGCATAAACGAAGAATCTGGCTCGTCTAGGGGAGTCAGAACAATTTTCCAATAAGAAGCAACTCTGAGGAGAAGAGGTGAGGAAGAGGCAGAGAGAACAGTGGTGCAAACACTCAGCATGGTGTATTTGGGGAACGAACCGCAGACAGATGCCCTTGGCTTTAAGGAAGAGGATGTTTGTGGATGTGCTGGGAAGCAGACCACAGAAGGAGGAGGGCATCAGAAGATGAGGCGGGGGAGCAGGGAGGAGGTCTTCTGAAGAATTCTTGGGAGGGTAGTGGTCTGACCAGATTTGTGTTTCCGAAAGATCATCCTGAAAGTAAGCGCTGGTTTGAAAGCATGACCCATATTAACAAGTAAAAAAGCACATTGTAGAATAGTATATTTGACCAAATCTAAGACACCATTCATTGTATGGTATATACTGCTTTCAGTGATGATAAAATGTAAAAAAAATAAATAAGATGCTTCTTAAAGTAGAAAAAATGCAGCATGTTTACAAAAATCTTACCTTTAGGAAGTGTGTGTGTGTGTGTGTGTGTGTGTGTGTGTGTAGGAGTAAGATTTGAGGAATGACTGAAAGGTGACTTTTAACTTTTTTTATAGCCTTATAAACTATTTTATAATGAAAGCATATTATTGAAACGTAATATGCTTTTTTAGCTTGAAAAGGACACTAAAGTTAATAAAATATAAATGAGTAACAGCGACAAAGAAAAAAAAAAACACCCCAGTATCAAATCTTTTGCTGGAAGAGGTAGATGAAGCTGCCAGCAGGGAGAACCGTCCAGAAATTACTGAGAAGATTCAGAACAGGAATGCAAAGGTCTGAGTTTAGTGTCAGAAAAAAGGGAGATGAACAGATGGATTGAAGAGAGACTTAGTGAGTGAATTCAGAGGAGCCTCGTGGTGAGGAACAAGCTTGGCTTTTCCCATGTGGCTAGCCTGAGCTACTGGATGATGACTGCTAACATCTACACGCACAGTAAATATAAACGGAAGAGTTGGTTTTGGAAATGGGAAAGATGATAAATTCAGTTTGGGGTGTAGTAAGTTTGAGATACTTAGATACTATAAAAAAAAAGAAGGCAATATAGGTATGAGGCTCCAAAAATGTATGTCTTAGCATCTATAAATGGCCATTTAAACCACAGGCAATAATAACATTGCTTAGAAAGAGATATACAGGCAGTGGGGAGGGAGGGGTGGAGGGTGAATCCACATTTACCAAAGAGAAAGAGGAAAAGCAGCCTGAGTTAGGAAGGCTTAGGAGCAGCTGGCGGGGAAGAGGATCTTCACTGAGCAGGGTATCATGGAGGGGGAAGCACAGAGGCAGAAGGAGGAACAGCTTTCTAGAGCGGACGCCAAGTTAGATAAGAAGTGAAATGTGACCGTAGCCTATTTGGTCGCTGCGGCCCGGTCTGGAACAGTGTCAGAAGGGAGGTGAGGATGGAAGTCAGGTTACAGAGGGGCGAGGAGTGAGTGGGATTAGCGTAGGGTGAAAAGGACTTGACCACCACAGGAAAGAGAAGAGGGGATGCTAGATAAGGAGAATATCAGATCATGTATTTAGTTTTTTGGTAGTTGTTAGGAGAGATACCATCCTGTCTATGTGCGGAGGGAAGGAAGCCAAGAGAAGATAAGTGGAAGACCTAGAGGAGAGAGTAAATATTTAATGAAATCGGCCGTGGGGCTGAAGTCCAGAATTCAGGTTGGGTGGTTCTCTGGGACAGGACAGGGCAGAGCCGTTTTTGCCTTTGAGAAGTGGCTTTTCCATTAATTAGGGGGCTAAAAGTTTGGGCGACAAGTTTTGAGGA